ACAATAGAGCCCTGTTACTGACCAATAAGATACAGCCATCATTAATGATAATAAATGGACAAAATGTCTGCAGTGAAGATTGCCGACAGTTTATGTCTGTCAGTGTGTAAAGAATGATTTCATCAGTACTGGTTGTTTCACTGTTAGAGGACATTAATCTTCCATGTGTCACGTCGTCAAATCCGAAACCATGCAGAAGAATTCTCCCAAGTAATAATTTAATTACTTTGCATTTATAATTACGGTGAAGCAAGATGGCAGCTGTAAGCACGAATGAGCACTGTTAGACAGCTGAAACGTGAGAGAACAGATTTATGACATTTTATAGTTTGTTCTGCCACCAGTGACAAAAAGTAAGACTGGACGTTAATGAGTAGCATATGTGAGAAAGTGAGGTTGCAATGTGAAGTAGAATAAAAACCAATTAGTTCGTGCCTCTCAGTAGGGCCAGATGTTGTCAGATGAAAAAGTCAAATATATTGATCAGCGAAAACTGGCAAGAATTCATATCTGTTGTCACAATGTACAAACATTTTTCAAAGCAGTAAGTCCAGTCTAAATGGTTTATATCTCTTCAAGCCCAAAAACAAATGTATTTTGTTTTTTACATATGTGTTAAAGAAAACCCATACCACAATTAATGTGTTCTCTTATCTGTCCTGCAGCTGTTAAAAGCATTTTAGCCAATATGTTATATGCATTCTTACACAGTAATGTCAAGAATTCACAATAGATTGCAGTAATATTGCTAAAACTGCTATTTTTGTCTGCAAACCTACGCCTAGACATGAAAAGTGTCTAGATAGAAGCATTTCTTTGTCAAATTGTGCCAAGTAAGTGTCAAAAATCTGTTTTGAACTTTGTGAGGTATTTTCTGTGTGCTACATCTTACACATCTTTGCATTACTTTTTTCCCCTCACTCTCTTGTTCACTCGATCAAAGAGTTGCTTCATGTGGCTAATTACCATTAACCAAAAGTGCAGTGTTACCAAGATGTTTAAGATAGTGACACTGCAGTCTTGTTGGGTGCTGACTGTGCAATTAGGTCACAGAAGCTGTTGTTGGACAACTGCTCCATCCCTCTGGACTGCACTGCTTTGCTTATGTTGCAGAGCTGGCACCATTATGTTCATTATACGGAAACAGGATTTTGAGCCTGTGTATTGTACCTGTGCATTGTTTGTTTATGATCTTAAAGGTCCCCCTCCAGACACAGTTTAACGTTTGTAAAAATGCTCTGTTATGGTTAATATTATATTTAACATGGTTTTCCCCACATAAAAAGTGAAAGAAAAACCCTCTGAAAAGCGGATGAAAGGACATATACTCTTTCTCTTTCATTGTTAAATTGGATCTATAAATGCCCTGCCCACGGCTACTGCATGGGCTAGGTTAACCGATGAAAGAGCAGCACGTATCAAGATGGCTAGTGTTAAAAGAAACATTGGAGAGATGCAGCCATAGCCTACATGTTTGAGTCTCAGTCAGACCAAGACTTAGGTAAGGAGATGTTTCGTGCTGTTGTGCATCAAAATCGGTAACCAGCAGACATATCAGAATAGTAAGTTTAGTTAGCATCTTTTATTTGTTTATGTTGTTAGAAAGTAAGTCGTAAATAAACTTTATCTTTATCTACTTTTTATCAAGTACCTTTCGAAACCAAGTTACAATCAGGAGGAATTTGAAAACCGTTCTCTACTGCCAGACTTAACACAGATACAACTCAGAATAGTCAGGGCCAGACATGTTAGGGGACATAAACATGAGGTTGACAAAGGTTGTATATACGAAATTCACTTGCCACTAGATGTTGCACTAGCAGCATAGACCAAACCAATGGGATCTACAAAGGACCAGACTCCATTTACTAAAGAGAATAAAACTTGCAAAAACCTACTTTCCACTTTCTTTCCAACAATTACCATTGCTGGTTTGGTTGAAACAAACCCTAAATTTCCTTAATAATGTTAAATGTGAAAAACAGCTGCATAAATGGGTTGTTATGGCTATTATCGAATTCTTGGGGACAAATGCGTTTGTTATTGCCACTCACAGGCTTTCTGATTGTTGTGTCTGTCTGACAACATTATGGAAAGGACAGACCTTTTGTTAAACCAGAAACACCCGTAATAACAGGATCACTCACCACCAGACTCCATTGACAAAAATGGTAATTTTACCCTGCATATCATCGTAATGTTGTTACTTCATTCAGTGGACAGAAACAAAACAAAACTCACCCAAACCCTCTTTGTTAGTCTATCCACTGTTCCAACAATCACCAACTGTGGTTTGATTGAAATAAATCCTTAAGTCACTGTCAGTTGCACACACAAAGGGAGCGTTAACATGCACGTGCAGCCAGGCCGACTTTGCTAAACAAAGTACAGAGAGGCTGCGATAGCAACACAGTGTGATGTAACTTTCTGCTCAGGAGAGCATAACTCCACTATATCTTTACATATAAAATAGTTGTTTGCTGCTATATTAATGTTTTAAATCTCATATATATATAACCTTTAAATATCTCTGTTATCTATTTGAGTAGTTCTCAGGTTCTCCAGGCTCCACTCCAGTTTTCATTAACCGTCTAAACAGGAGCTGACTCACATATGGGACCCCAGGTGAATGCAATTAACCAGCAGGTAGGATAGAAACCGAGTAGTCTATCTACAATCTTTTCATTTTAATCCTAATTTGTAGTCCATTGAATCAGTATGCTTGGCATTGATTTGTGAGAGAAGATATGGCTGTTCAATTTGAGTCTCAAATGTTTTAACTGATGGATGCCTATAGTTCAGATACTGTTTGTACATACAACTTCACCTCTATCCTAACCCTAACCCCCTTTAGTATTAACCCTATTGCTGATACAAATATTGCTGGAAGTCTCAGGAAGAATTTTTCCTATCTAGCCTCACATACAGTAAGTGTGCTGTGCAGTGTTCACAATTAGGAAGTACTTTTGAATGAAAAGTGGTCTAACACAGAAAATGGTGTTAATGAGGCAGAAACACAAGGAAAGAAAGATATCCCTGGTTCATTGTGGGTCTTCTACTCCCAAGAAACTGAGTCAATTGGCATTTTTTATAGATTTAAAATCAGTTTAATAGAGTGAGGAGTTCCTGAACACAGCTTAATTACTTTCTCAACACTGATCCTGAGGAGGAAACAGCAAATTGATTTCTATGGAGTGTCCTGAGGGGCTCGCTGGACTAAAGTACAGTGCCTGTACTCCTGAAACACGGTTAAATGTTCCTCTGCCCTCCTGACATCCTCTTTTCTCTAGTCTTTCTCTAATGAGACAGACAAAATCAGTACAACTACATTTAAAAAATCATATTAATGTTAATTGTTTAAAGAGTTGTACAGTGCAGTCCCATTAAAGAGTTGTGAGATCATGAAACAGGATGTTGAAAGGAAGTTGACATGAGAATGTGCAGGACAAAGACTAACAAATAAACATGTCTGTGTTTTGCTGAGGAACTGCCGTACTGAGCAGTCTGAGGGACAAGAGAAAAGTGACCAGAAGTGACTCATTTCTAACTGAGTGCTGGGCGACAAAAAGTGTTGGTCTAAAGAAGAAGGGAGCCCTGCAGGTTTTATATGATAGGAGGTGCTGGCTAGATCCCACCAAAACTTATCATCAGATTCGGTGGATAGACGTTTGCAACCCCCAATACAAGATGCATCAGCAAAAACATTGAAAAGTCCAGTGTATAAGATTTAGGAGGATCTATAGGCAGAAATGGAATATAATATTCATAGGTATGGTTTCATTGTATCGGTGTAATTTTTGAAGTTTGGAGAAATGCAGCATATGACTGTAATATACTTAATAGTTTTAAGTACAGTTAACTCAATTTATTTTCCCTTAACAATAATTGAGTTACTTGTACTCAAATCAAATATTTTTGAATGCTTTATTTGGAGCGTTGGAGGTTTTACAGTGTTATTCTGACATAGCAGTTTTATCATTTATCTCAAAATGAATAACATACTTTCAGATACGATTTTAAAGAGTTGGATAAAAAAATAATAATTCTTACAAAAAGCAACACAGATGAAGAACTAATTTTAATCTTTAATGTCAACTTGATAAATCCCTTGAAACATATGCTATGAATGTAATATAATAACATATCCACCTGAGAACTGGACATAGAGATAAACTGTGTTTAAAAGAAAAGGATACAGACAGTAAAGCATAGAAGGAAACACAATATTTAGGGAAAAGGAAACAACTCTCCATATAGATGTATGTACACGTGATCTGGTACTGACATTGATTTGTTTGTCTACCTACAGTTACAAATCAAATGCAGTATATACTGTACTATCAGAGCGGGACAAATAATCTATATACTATGTGGAAATATGTTCTGTTGCAATCTGTGTTGCTACACTGATGCTATTATTCTTCGCTGCCTGTTGCATGAATGTGTGAATGCAAAGTCAGTGGAGCAGCTTTCCTTGATTACAGTGGCAGTAAAGCCTTTTGGTTCTCACAAGCAGCTGTGTGCTGTTGCTTAGCTGCCTGATGGAGCAGCCTCATTAGGCTACATTTCAAACTTTGTCAGTACTGACATTGGCATAGCTCAGAATAACGCGTACTGTGTCATACAGTGATTTATGGTCATTGTTCTTCACCGTACCCTTGAGTGCTTTAGTGCACTGAAAACTTTTCTTTTTTGATGACTACATCAAAATAAACAGACACTGCCTGATGACTTTCTATTAGCCTGTTTGAGGCTCAGTGGGATTTTCCGTGCCAAAAAATATTTGTGCAAAGGGTGGAGCAGGTGAAGCTAGCAGACAAAGAGGCCCCATGCACTGATTGACAACTAAAATGAATGAAAGAATATCACACGCACACAAGCTCAGTGTTCACTCCTCCTCCATCTTGCCTTGCAGTTTAACTGTTGTAGTCATAAAATAGAGGACACTAAAGAGGTGCAGTGTGTTGTCTTAGGCTACGACGTGGTTTTGTGTCACTTACCTTTGGATACTGTTGGACTGGAATGAGGACTCTTTCAGAGAGCTTGATATTTTTATTGCTGATGATATCGAGGTATTTCTTCATGTCACCATCTTTTCTCAATTCATCACCTTCATACTTTTCAATCTCTGCAGAGAAACAAAATTAAAATAAACAGATAAGAAGATAATTAGTTTGTTATGTAACTGAAAAAGCATCAGTCAAGATCTTGAAGTCTGCTTTGGAGCAGCATGACAACCAAACAGTGTAATGTTCAGCTGGGGACACATTAGGAGAAATTTAACTATGCATTGCATCACACGGTGAATATTTTGCTTATCATTCTGTGTCTCAGCTGTAAATGTGCTCACATTGCAAACTTAATGATATGAGATTATCCAGCTGACTCCTGATACGTCCTTTTACATCGGGCCCTGTAATCTCATGATCCAGTAATTCCAATCAAAATAACAACAGAGACAAACAGTCACACTCAGCTCGCTGTGCCTCACTTCACTGCAAACTGAGCTCTTGTGGGCTGTCAGCAGTCTCTGATCCCCACACAGCACAGGACTTAAGCAGATGGCGGATTAAACATGTAAAACGTTTGATATTATCGGGTAAAAGTCAATTGGGGTGGATAAGATTAGATCTGTGAACTCTCATATTAAGATCAGATCATTGCTTCCAATCAAACCGCAGTATTTCTCCTTATAGTTTGCAAGATGGGCAAATCTTGTGCAAATTGGCCCAATAGTCCTCTTGTGTGTCCCCAGCCTTATTGAAATAAGATGAGAGATGAGAGGTGGATATTAACAGTTTGGTTTAGCTTGACAGAAGTGCACAGTCCCTCAACACCCTGAATAGTGATATTTCTTGATTGATGCATTTTATAGCACTTGACCTGAAACACTCACAATACATTAAGTGCTATAGAAATGAAGCTATCTGTTGTTCACCTAGTGGGGATCCTCCTCTGTTGCTAATTAATACTCAGTGGAATTACAACTATCAGTCTGCAGCACACTCGCTGGACAATAAAAGATGTTCCTAAACAAGGCCGAGAACGAGTCACCGACCCCTCCTGAGCTGCTATATTGAAACTCAAGAGTTCATTTAGACTGGAACACTTCACCCTTATCTGAGCTGTCACACTCAGTTGACAAAGCTGTGAGGTTAAAAACAGTTGATGCCTCTGTTCCAGGCAGTTCCAATATTCACTCATTATAGTTTCTTATGGCCAGTGGTTTCAGTTTTACACCATGAATTAAGGTCATTTGTTTGATATTGCTATTGTCTGTGAAATCACAGACCAAACTCCAACAGCTTGAAATGCACCGACTTCTTCCAGTGTGACACAATCTCTCTGATTGTGCCCGATTGTCCGAGGAAGATCCTTTAAATTGGAACACTGAAAGCAGACACTGTCATTTCATCAAATCACTTAGGCTTTTGTCAAAAACATACACAAGTGTATTTTCACGCCTGACAATGAAGCTGTAATGAAAAGGACTGTATAAACCAAGTACTGGAAATGCTCACTCCCACCATCATCGCCTGCCACTGGGTACAGACTGTGCCTGAAACCTCTTGCTGAAATCACAGGTAAACACATTTAAAGACCCCTCTAACCTTTTATTCAGGTGACTCACACCTTCTTATGTGACACATTCACACAAGACAGGTGTCCCAGGATGGCAGGCGCTTCCAAAATGTGCCTTTTAAAAATAGCATTTACAGTATGTGGCATGCCTGAGGAGATAAATCAACCTGTGGTGTGCAAACACATGCATATTTTGAAATAGCTCTACTCTGCTTTGTACACAGGGTACTGTATAGTAACCAGCTGAAAATATAAAGACAGGATATATACATAAGTGTTTTTAGCCATGCTTGTGGTGGAGCTCTGGGGATGTTGGTCAGTCGGTCTACCACTTTAATCCAGACGCTCAACTAATGGATGGATTGCCATACAATGCTGCATTCTAACTACTTTGGTGTCCCCTTGACCTTTTGCCATCATCAGGTAAAAATTTCACTTTGGTTTCTTCGGGTTTTTGGCCAAATACCGGAAAAACTAATGACACTAACCTTAGCTGTGTTTATTGCTAACACAACGGTCAACATGATAAATATTGCTTTGCAAGATGACATTAATATATCAAGTTCAAAGCACATTTATGCTCATATACAGCTTCAAAGAGCTGCTAGGTGGGACTGTCATCCCAAGAACAAATGTTTATGTTCAAGTGACAAAGCCCTCTAACGGCCGCAGGAATTATGAGTATAGGTGGAGGCAGTGTGACATTAATATATAGCCACAAAGTCTACATACAGGAGAGGTTTGGGTGGATGAAGGGTCAACAAAACAATGAACCTTAACACGTGAGACTACTGTTTGTTCCCCCTTTCAACCATGACCACGATGTTCCATATCCTTAACCACGTGGTTATCATTGTAACCATGACGACAAAGGTCCCCTAACCTTAACAGAGTAGTAATTTTAACCAAGCCTTTTTTGTGTTTTAAATTGATTTCCACCTTAATTTTAGCACTGTCACATCTTAAAATGGATTTATTTTTCAGCAGTGTTTTGGAGGTCACAGACTAATTATGTCATCCTGCTGATATTCTGCTGGACAAACATCATATTTTGTTGTTTCATTTCAAGGACTTGTTGCTGCAGACTCTTGTTAAAGTTTTGGTCATTTGAGTACATTTTCATGTGTATGTCACAGTCACACCATCAAATAAAGCTCATTTGGATTTAAAAGTTTGTTTTGTACTCATTTTAAAGTCCAATTTCCAGGTTTCATCGAGCATTTGTTTCTCGATATGCACAAAGATTAGTGCTGGACTCCTGCATCTGGGAGAGAATTTGTTTTGGGAGGTGTTTTACTTTCAAACGGGTACAGTGTTCATATCGTTTGAATAAAATAATGATGTTTTTATAGCCCATGAAGATGATTATACTCTGGAACAGTGCATAATGGGAAACACCTTTATTCTCGTCTGCAGGCTGCCAGTGAACTCAGAAGAACATTGTGTGTGTCAGAAAGAAGAGTGAATGAGAGACGGAGAAGGGGAGAGAAAAAGAGGAAATGAGCTTACAATATATAAATCTGAAGAAACGCTCACTCTAGTATCATTGTTGTCAAATATGTGGCAGAGAGCGACGAGAGCCTACAGATCACAGAAGCGAGAATGTGCTTTGAAGGTCACTGGTTTTAGTCCTCACACAGGATGAAAAAGATCTCGCTGGGAGAACTGAATGAGTAAAACACTCTCAGTGACTATTCTGGTGCTCTTGATCCCCTCTGTTGCGCTTCCCAAACTGCTTCAGTGGAGCTGCTCAGCAGCCAAGAATGAAAAAAATGGTTTAACTGGGCAGCTACCAGATAAATGTGTACAACTGTACGAGTTAGGAGAAGGTTTTGCTGAAAAGAGAAAATGTGCTCTGTCAGCCTGCCATGGCTTAAGGTTAAATACATCTGCTTTTGTTGGTATGTAGCAACACAGACTATCAACACTGACTGAGAACAGTTTGAAGTTCATTCATCCCAGACATCATTAAAATGTCAATAAAAGTGTATTCATAAGCTAGCGCTACTTTTTATTAGAAACAGCAGATTTTTATTCACCACTAACAGATTTTTGAAAGGATAGGGCTTTCAGCAACTAGTTGCCCTCGGTTTACCAGCAGCACCACTAGAAAACATTTTTCTTGCTGAAATAAGCCATGAATACACTTATTGTGAAGGTCTGTTCTGCACTGATTGTGTGAAATCTTTCACAATTTTCACAGACTTGAATTCGAGCAATCTAAACGTTACTAGAAGCTTCAGTACACTTTGCCAAACATTAATATTTGAGCTATCAGTTTAAAGTAGCATGTATGCAGTTCAGTAAAAAGACAGGGGATCATTTGTTGGAGATAATATTTTTACTGCTCTGCTGTTTATCCTCATATTGTAGCTTTATTGGATTCCAGTTGTTGTTTGGCTACTAAAGCATGTTTGTTCTACGGCTGAATAGGAGCGTAAAATGTCTATGCTTTCAACTCTACAATGATGTTGGTGAGATCAAATTGTCTCGTTCTGTTCTGTTTTTTTTCTGATGGGTCAACAGAGAAACATGGATCCAGAGAAAACTCACACACCGCAATTGTTAAAACATTAATGAATCCAATCAAAATTAATTCCTTCCAACACAGGTTTGATTAATCCCCACACCGTTGCACTGTCATGCCACACAGGGATCTGATGAGATAAAACAGTGCATGAAGATGAACCTCATCACACCCAACAGAGCAAACTCAGGATGTCCTGAAATCTGACATGTGCTCTGTGTACACAAATAATGCACACAGTAAGCATCCCTCCCATTTTCCCCCCACTCTGCTCACCTTTTATTTTGCAAAGCTGGCTGAAAGACTGGAAACCTTGAATAACCTGCAAGCTGATGGACGAGCAGTAAAGAAAAACTGCAGATAGGAAATTGGTAGAAAAATCATATTTGGACACCCAACTTGCTGATATTGCCTTTGCTGTTCTGGTTATTGTTGTTTTGTTACCATGTAAAGTGTCTTTGAGTACCTTTTAAAGCATTACATAAAGTATTATTATTGTTTATTATTATTATTATTATTATTATTATTATTATTATTATTATTATTATTATTATATTTTCTTCTACCTGGTTGTATTTTGGCTTTTCATTGGTTAGGGCTGTGTGGGGTGTTTTTTTTTCTGCAAGTTCCAGCTAGTTTGTTTTAAGCTTTCAATAAAAACCCTGAAACTGTTAAAAGACAGTCACAGTATATTTGGTTTATATTAAAATACTGATCAAAAATGTTTTGATTTACACAGTGGCGCATCAGTCAATACTGAGTGATTCTTTTTTAATATGCTTGGCTGCACCGTAGGCAGTTACACCAATTGCAGTGAGAGACCAAAATACAAAGGCTTTGTTGAGTGCTGCTATTAGTCTCTAGACTGCTAAATTATTCACTGATTTCCTCTACCTATTGAATGCTATATCTATAATAAGGACTTCAAAATTATGAGCAAAAATCAATCCAATCACACTCCAATAACTGATTGCTCGTTCACGTCAAACACAAAGGTAGTAATAGCACTCCGCTTAACA